GTCTATCCAGGAATCCTCAACATGTGTACATCTGCATGCTGAATTCAACGAAAATTGGGCCAGGTGAAGCGATCAGTACTAGCGTTACTGAATAGAACGAAAAAGGAAGAGATGTACTAAGAAAGACAAGGAATACTACGGCGTGCCTTTCATTCCGTACACATATATACATATACATATACACATATGTATATATATATATATACGCATACATATATATGTATATTCATATATGTACATATATACATACATATATATGTATATATACATACATACATATACATGTATACATACGTATATATACATATATATATATATATATATATATATGTAAGCGGGCACGTGTAGCGCGGTGGCTAAAGGCGCCTTGCAATACAAATGTATTCGATCCCGCGTCCCAGGGTCACCAAGCCTTCTATGCACCGGGCTCGACAAATTGGTACCGTACCTGTTTGGAGAGTTAGCAGTACTGACTAAGCCCACAGAGATGGCACCGTACGTCATTATATAGGCCAGATATGCATTCAATAAGCTCTAAGGAATGAAGTCGAATGCATGAAGCACCTAGAAGGATTGATCGACGCCGAGCTTTTCTATACATATATAATTTTTTTCCATGTATATGCACATATACGTGTGCCGTGTATATGCACATATGTGTTTATAAATATATATACATATGTATATATATGTATATATACATATTATATATATATATATATATATATATATATATATAAGGATAAAGCTTTTGGCGTTGATCAATCCTTGAGGGATGTGCCTTGCATTCGACTTCATTAAGCATCGCTTGAAGGTGATTGAATACATATCTGGCCTTTACAATGACTAGTGGTGGCCCACCGATGTATCGAGTCAGTGCTGCTATCCTCCAGACAGGTATGGTATCAATTTGCCGATTCCGGAGGGATGGAAGGCGTAGTGGGCTTGGTGCGCGGGGATCGATTCCATGTGCATTACAGAGCACATCCGACCACAGCGTCACACGCGCCCATATATATATATATGTATATATATATATGTCTATATTCCGCCGTTGGAAGGCCAGCAATTCTCCAATGAACCCATTCCCAAGGTTTAGCATTACCTTGTGTTGACGACTCAGTGAAGCTTTAGCACAGTTTTGAACACCAAGAAAAGTGGTGGATGTCTTTGGTGCCTCAGTATTTGTATTTCGATAATGTAGAAAACCGCACCAACGAACCTTTTGGAATTTACGGATCTCCATTTTGCCGACAGCGGCTCTGGCTAAAGTGCGCAGCCACAGATCTCTATGAGCCGTCGGTCGCCACCGAATTTTCACGAATACCAGTAATGTGATGAATATCACCAACAGGATGAGCAAACCAATCAACGAAAGATTCAAGAGGTTTGGACGAAACACCTGTAAAAAACCTACCTCTTGTTTAAAATGTTTGACCATATAGCAAAAACCGACTTTCATTTCACTTCTGTATGACAAATCAACATGTGTTTAAATTGTTAAACTTAAACGAGATTGATAAACTTTATTTATCAGTCACCTTAAAGATGAAACAGCTTCTTCATACACCCATTGCTTTCTATGAGTCTTTCACTGACTAGTCCACGTGAGATCAACCGCACAGAGTTCACATGAATGGATAATGCGGTCCGCTGACTTTAAAGTATGTTTGAGATATTGTGTGAGGTCACGCATGGTAACAAAACATTCCTCCCTGATGTACATTCTTGGATCCATCGCATTTATCCAAAATATCTGGAGGATTTTAACACGCCGAAGTTTTAGAATCCTGTGCGAGGACGGTAGCTTCTGCTTCAAAGTATTTCCCGTTATATTTCTGTGCTCGATGCACGCGCAGTGGACTATTTAGTTCAACTTTAGGTTAACTGTTTAGGTGTCTAGGTACTGTCCTATACGAACATATACTAGTCTACCCGTTTTGCCAATATATTCCCTACACGTTTTACAATAGATTTGGTACACTGTACCCGAACTCACACAATCGCCGTATCTATCATTATGGCATATTTTACAATTTTGCATTGTGCTTAAGCGGTCGTAGAAACGGTTACGAACCAGCCGGCGTCCGAGAATGTTCGGTGGTATTTCAATCACTGCAACCGATTTCTCTAGAGCGGCCCTTTCAAGGAACGTTTTACCGCCGCACTCATCTACTTGAAAATGAAGGGCAGGATGAATACGACCTTGCTCTTGCTAAGAGCCCAGTTAAGAGTAAACCAATACCAGGATCCGCCACCATCCTGGTATCAAACTAGTCGAACGGCGGCAAATCTCCTGATCCACAAGGGCGGCAACTGCCTGTGGTGACCACCTGAGGTAGACTTTGGCAAGGTTTACATCGCGGCGCTTCCAGAGAACCACACTGGTTAAATCAGTGAAACTCCGAAAAAATGGAAGTTATGCTGGGGCCCACACAACCAGTGAAGACGGGCAATCGAAACAACCAAGTATTTATGTATCTAAGTATTCTCGCTACCATTATCGTTTGGAACAGTGGTTATTCCTCTAACGCTAACATTAGGAGTTATCGTTCCATAAACCTCGTCAATTTTAGGCGGATAGCGCAGTGGAGGTAACGCCGGTCATCATGAGTGTGGTACTGGTTCGACCACACCTTGCTTACCAAGCGTCTCATCGGGTCGAAAAGTTGCTATTAGTTTTGTCTGGAAAAGTCTGCCCTCCGCAATTCAAGTGGGAACGCTCTAACATCGCTTTCTCAGGACACCAGGGAGAATTGACTCGTGCATCAACCAGCGAAGTTCATAGCGAAAGGAAATTCTTCAAGCAGCAGCCGAACCTACACACAAAATTCAAAGACCTCTATTGATAATGGATGCGAGGGAACGAATCGAACGCAAGAAGTGCTGGGATCAACATGGTGGATGTGAAAAGTGGGTCATATAATAAAAATCCAGGGGTTCTTCCTTCTGTTCTCTTCCTGTGCACATACTTGTGGGTGTTCGAAGCATGATTCATGCAAACGTCTTTTTTGTGGGTGAGATGTGAGAGAAAAGGTAATGAACCAGTATGCTTAGTGTTCGGAACCATTTAGTGATGCGGCCATTTTCGAATAGGTTAATTCGAACTTTCAAGAAATGGAAGCTAGTTTCTCTCAGGTTTCTCTCGGGTGAATTTTAGGTACCCTGACTGTTCATTCAGTGACTTAAAACAGCTGTCCATCTCCTCATGGCTGGAGCAGATGATAAAACCTATATATCAGCAGTAGAGTAATTGCAGGAGATCGATTACTGGTGTTCCCATTTTAGAAATAAATGCAACGGCAAGGCTTGGTGCCAGTCACTGTCCCACTGCCAGGTCTCTCATTTGTGCGTAGTATTTTCCGGACCATCTGAAGATTGAGCAGTTTAGGTACTCCTTTAAGAAGGCCATTAACTGCTGAATCAAGAATCCATTCATGTTGATTGCTCCTCCGTGTTGAATAAAGAGTTCAATGATGGATTGAACTTCGGAGTCATTTGACACGTTCGTGTACACAGCGGTAGTGTCGAAGGACTGCATTACGTACGCGCTGTTAGGACGCGAGTTACATAAACAATAGAAGAACATTTGGATGTTTGTAGGATGGGGTGGGATGGCTTTCAATAATTGGGTTAGTATAAGGGTTAAAGACCATGTTAGTCTATCCGTTTTCCTGTCTACACAACTGGTGATGGCTCCGGCCTAACCTTGAATAATTACGACACAGTAGGTCAAAGATCATCAGTCGATACTAACTTGTGAGTTTCAATGGGTAAGTATACGACGGAAATGTTGGTAATTGAAGATTACGCTGACAAATAACTCATGGCTTTAAGCCTGCCGCTTGTTCTACTTTGACAAATTCATCGTATAATTTCCGACACTGACTTTTGAATCTTAACTCTTTTATTTACTGCCTTTTTCTTCTTAATGGCAGGGTATGTTGTGAAATATAACTCGTATGAAGTGCTGAGATATTTGCAAAACTCCGGACCACATGTGTATGCAGTGGGGAACGAACACGCGCTGTTGTCCTTACCGGGGAGCACCGCACTTCACCACTCCGGACCCGTATGATGTAGTGGTGAAGTGCGCTGCTCCCCGGTAAGGACAACAGCGCGTGTTCGTTCCCCACTGCATACACCTGTGGTCCGGAGTTTTGCAAATATCTCAGCACTTCATACTGACTTTTGAGTTCCTGTAGAGTACTCAGTGGAAGAACCATGGAAAACGGAGAGCGTATTAAGAAATTGTGTTGTTTTAAATGTGACTGAAGTTTAGGTATCGAGGGTTTTGGTTTAGGTTATGGCGATTTTCGGCTTCTCTGTGGAAAGCTAATTTTCCGAAACGTCAGCTAGTGTGAATAAATAGTACATCAACAAGCTCTTCTGTGCTCAACAAGAATGTAGCCCATTACTGATCAGTGCGGCAAACTGAAGGTCGGCCTTGGGAATCACGGCACGATGTACGGAATGATATTTTAATTAAGCGAGCTCACTTGCAGTTTGAGCACATTCGGCGGCTTCGGCTCGACAAAATCGAGTCTCAGACGGGCGACAGCGGCACCATGTCCGGCCTCCGCAAGTTGTTGGCGAAGGCGTTGTGTTTCCTGATCGTCCAAGACTACCACTGGAATTTTCGACGAACGAACCTAAATTAGATCGCTTGAGTGAGGTGGAAATCCAAACTCAACGATACGCCCACCTTCATCGGCTTTCTAACACGCTGAATTCGCGACGCCGGTCCCACGACCAACGCCAACGCTCCTGATTTCTCAGCAAATCGGGCCTAGAGGATACATATGATTAAGCAGTGGTCCATATATGATGCAATAATCCCGTCTAATTATCATGGAAACACTGAATATAAAAAATATATGGTTTGGAGAGATCCAATCCAAAAGACAAAAAAATACCTTCAAGTGAATATTTGATCGTTTATTTTTCTTTAATGGAATTGAAATGGAATCTTATCCGCAGATTCTCCTTGGGCCTGTCTCCGCTGGTTGTGCGGGTCCCAGCATAATCTCCATTCTTGGAGATTTGCTGGATTCCTGCGTTCACCTGGAGTCCCAAGGTCAGCCTAGCCAAAGTCTGTCCCAGGTCGTCATCACTACAGTCAGTCGCCGCCATTGTGGATCAGAGGGAGATTTGCCACCATGTTACTACTTTGATACCAAAATGGTGGTGGATTCTGCTACTAGTTTACTCTTAGCTGGGCTACCTAATGGAAACGCCGGACTCTTGGCGATAATAAGAATTCAAAAAAAACAAGATAAAAAGTAGGAGGATTTTGGTAATTCTAAATAGAAAATATAGCACAGCATAAAAATAAGAATAAGAGCAGCATTTGTTGGAATCCTTGCAAAATTTAACAATAGGAAGAGGCACTTTTTGTCTAGAGTTAACCGATTCAAAAAGTTTGTAACATTGTTATTTATCTCGATTCAGCACTTTCTGCTCCTTGCCTATCATTCCAGGTACAGACATTTTATTTACGACTTCCAAAATTCAATACTCGATTGATAGTGCTGTATTGATCTAAGTAGGTAAGTTAAATTATCGCAGAGTTGACTTCTTGCAAAGGATCTGATCCTATCAAAGATCAGTTTGAATGCAGCGAACTCCGCCTCTGACCCACAAGAGCTGGCAAGAGACTGCGGTGAGGACCCAGAAATACCCTAGCAGGTTGATATTTCGAGATTCCACGGAAAACTACGCTCAGCTTACACTAATCATATGAACAATGAAACTGGAAACCTGGCACTTACTCAGATCCGAGATGAGAGCAGGAACACAACGAAACTACTGGAAAAAATGCTGGAGCCGTGCGTATTCAAAAAACATAATCAACAGGAACATATGCCGTCATTGCAGGCCTCCGCGATTTTGCACGATTCCAGAGTGGCAGGGCAGGCAATTTCTGTTTTTATCGTCGACTGACGCATTGCTCATACCATAAAAGTGAATGACTGACCATCAAGAGAAGCGATTGTTATAAAGATAACGACGACGATTCGGTCGAAAGAAAAAAGAACGAAGAAGAAGCGTAAGATAGGAGAAGGCTATGGGTGACTACGCATTTCGGGTCCTAAGATGTATGTCGCTCTCGGCACCTTTTTCTTCCTGGGACTTAAAAACATTGTTACGAACTCGATCCATAGAAAACCTCCATTCATGCACGACACTGACAGAACTGGAAATCTCAAGACCTCTGCTGATTTATATCCTCGTAGAAGAACATCAAGCTATCAACACAGCTGCTTGTTGTCCTTACGTAAAGGTTTTTGTTATATACATGGATAGGTTAGTGGCTTTCTCCTTTTTTAGTCCCGTTTTCAATTCCAATATCCGCTATCATTTGTCAAGCATCTACAATTCGCCTCACCTGATTATCGAGCGCCACGCATCCAGTCAAGAATGGCTGCACTTCATCGACGAACACGACGGCTACATGTCCAAACAGCGTTCGATCGAGACCTTTTCGTCGAGCATCACAGGCTCGGAATGAGGACACCTAAAAGTGGAGATCCTTGTGAAAAACATCTCATCAAGATGGAAGATGGCATTTGATGTTAATTTACCAGTGGTTGCTAGGGCATTCTTAGTTCAATGATCACCATGTAAATGGTGGAATAAAATTCTTAACGCTTTCTTTTTAACACTTCATTTTCTTTCCTCTCACTAAGCTTCCAACTAGGACTTTAACGGTCTACCGATACCATTTTCATTATCTTTACATCACTTTGTAATAGTTTCTAAATTACCTAGGTTGAGTAGATGTTTTCAAAGTTTGCCCGGTAGAGTATACCAATTCGAATATTACAGACGATGGTGTATAGTTTTCTTCTATGTGGAGCTTCAGATTTCCTCTATGAAGCTAGAATTGGAAATCTGGAAAATAGCTTCCACTCTAGATCCCGTTCCTTAGATCGTCTTCCTTTGACATGAACTCGTTGTCATTGAAATTGTGAAATATAGAGTGTATCCCTTAGTAGAGTCAACAAATTTATTAGCATTGGCTTTTTCTTTCGACCACTGGTGAGAGAGTCATAAATTTGGCAGCATTCGCTCGTCTTCCGTTAGCGCCTGAAGAAGCGGTGTACGGCGTTTGCGCAACCGGCGATGATCTCAATTTCCGTCGTAGACGGCCTGGCTGTTTAAGGGAATGGAGGAGATATGTGTCTATGGAAATAGCCTGTTTCAGCAACGATGTGCTATAAATAACGTACATTCGCGGACGATTTGATGTCGCCGACGTCGGAGCGCACCGAACGATCGGCCGGCCGACGGTGGACCGACGGACGACCAGCGGACGGACTGACGACCCATCAGCGAGCATCTTCAACCGTACAAGACGACAAGACGCAGACTTTTATTGCATGCCATAAAACGAACTATGTGGGCACTGTCCGCGAAAAGATCGTCGACGTCGAGCTCCTAGCTACTTCTTTTTTTCGAATCGATTCGCAAACGATAATTCTTTCACTGTCCGAATGAATTTCAAATTCATACGATGTTATTCGTGAATATCAATATGCCATGAACTGAAACACATACTTAAAGTGGTCTAGAAGTCGGAAAACTTAAAAATCGTCCTTCATTTCTGAATAGAATATGAAGGCTCAACTGATTTGCTATGAGGTTATCGCTCATTCTGACTCGCTAGTATTACGGTAATATAGGGCCGCTAACCCAAGCAAAAATGAGATTTTTGTCTCTGTGTGAAACATAGTGCTGCGAACAGTTCTTCTTCTGTTGCTTGCGGAAAAGTATATGATTAATAATTGAAGGAAAAATCAAATAAACGAAAAAAATGAATGAATAAACAATAATGTCTGAACATCCGGACATTGCTCAGAAGTTTTCACAACGACAGACGCCACTATATGTAAAGTTCAGTACGTGAATAATTCTAGCCTTGCTCATAAGCACAGAAAAAAACCTGGGTACACTCGAGTTCGAGTCCAAATAATTTAAATTCTTTAACAAACTCCTGCATATTTAAAGAAGAGACAAACTTCCCGGCAACAAGACGAGTAATTTAAACTCCTGCTGAACAAAATGTTCAGTGATGGAGTTGTTTGCATTGGTCAGTATTTCAATAGAACCCTACCCTCCGCCATCATCTCCGTACCTACCAACGCTAACCCGTTGCTAGAAGCGGAAATTCATTTCCCTATCGACATTCTTACCGTAGCTGAGCGTGAAGGATTTATTGCGAGGAAAGCATATGAATGAAGAAATGAGGTTGGATACCCTTGGATAAATCGGTTTGACTGCGGAATGAATTGTTGACGGACAGATTTGGAAAAACTGGCAAAATGTTCACGAATATAGAGGAAATGGCAGCTAATCAGACATGAGATGCAAGACAACGTACAAGCCATAAAAACACAGAACTCAACTTTTTCGAGATTTAAGGCCTTTTTCAGAAATTCAGCTTTGAATTGAAGTTTCTCTTAGGCTGCTCAGAACACGTACAGACTTCATTCCGTAATCACAGGTACAGACATTGATAAGTATAATTGTGTGTCTATGCATGTTATGTGTGTGTATGTGTGTTTGTGTGTACAAAACAGAAACGCTGTGACCCTTGAGGTCGTAAAACTTGAAAGAAGCCGACGACAACGATAGAGAACGTCTAGAATGGAGACACTGTGCACAGATAAATCCGAATGTTCGACGGGTTGGTTGTATGGCCGTTGCGGATTAGGCGACATCGTCGTCGGATTTATTAGAGGTTTTGTCTCACCTCTACCCGAGACATACGCAAACCGAACAATAATCTACGAGCTGCACGTTTTTGAGAAGTTCATGAGGTCGGCTTGCTGGAATGCACGCAAACGACTCGCACATCTCTGGCCATTGGAAATTGAAACGTATGATTTACCAGAGAAACATGTATCTGCACTTGTAAAAGTATGGGAAAGAAAAAAAACCAACAAGCCACTTGGCCGTGTAGGAAGATCAGTGGGTGCAACATAAAAAGTGCAATTAGATACAGCGGTAATTGGAGATTATATGTACATATAAATATGTATATGTATACGCTTACATATACAATATATATATATATATATATACGTATACATGCATATATATAGGTCAGTGTAGGAGAGCAGCGACATAAATGAGCCTGTAGAGATTTCAAAACTTGCAAAACTACACAGTATAATGGCATATATTTTATAGTTTTGCAGTCATTTTGCCCAGTTTGGTTAAATTCGATGCTTTGTTAAAGGCGTTCATTTCCTTAAGATATCTTGATTCGCTAGAATAAGTGCCTAAGGATGAAAAACAAATAAATCGTCATCGTTTCACCGGTAACAACAAGAAGTGCATCCTAGAACTTCACTGCAATAGAAGTGATTTTCTCTTCAATAAGCAGACACGAGGTTGTTATTATAGAATTTATTAGGGTACAAGAGCCGACGTTTCGGCGGTTACGACTGACAGTCCTCGTCCATGTAATACTTTGTGCGGCTGCTATCCACCAACTAACTGAAATACATACAACGATTAAACGGCTCTGAAGAAGGCGAAACCGCCGAAACGTCAGCCATTGTATCCTAATAAATTCTATAATAACAACCTCGTGTCTGCTTATTGAATAAAAACTTAGAATAATAAGTGGGAAGAGTGCCCTGAGTTTTGTTGCGCTCATCATAATACCCTAGAAGAACTTGGTAGCATCAGGAGCGTTGGGTTGGTTGAGCGTCGGCAATCGCAAACGCGATTCGAACGATCGCCTATAAATCGCCTCGGCGAAACGTTAACGACATCGCCTGCATATGTCGTCGACTTCACATTACGATTGTCGAAACGACGCCAGCCATTAACCACCACCCGAATTTCGCCACCCGGAATCGAAGAAACTTCTCATGTTCGACCACGACTGCTCGGCGATATCACCTACCAAAAGTTTCCGACGGTCTACTTTGCTGTTCAACTACAGCCGAATTCCCGAATGTGTACCGAGTGCTGCTCATTTAGTGTGTCAGCGCTATTGATGCGACGTAATTTGAATGTCGGTCGCATTTTGGCCTTTTTCTCCCAAGCCAGTCGCTTCGGCATTGAAACGCGGCTTAATTCAATTTTGAGACGTCTATTATACGAATGGAGATCCGTGTGGGCGATGGCATTGTGGTTTGCGGAAAAAACGAGAAGAAGAATACTTAAATTATTGGAGCAAATAGATAGAAGTATATATATATATATATATACATATATATATATATATATATATACAAAACGAAAACAGACATACACGCACAGAAACATGTGCACAACCACTAAGTGCATCTGTTGAAGAAAAACTTGACGAACTCGGAAGACATCGAACACTCCATTGGCTCACAATAAGTGGTGAGATTAAGAAAATAACGAAAGAAGGTTTCCTTTCCTGCTTTCCTACAATTCTAGCGGTTTTTATGTCTTTTTGACAAAATACAGACAAAAAAAGTACAAAATTCTTACGTTTAGATGAGGCGTGAAAGATTCGAAGGAATTAAACAAAACCCTGATCATTCTTTATCATAGGTGCTCTACAATCTTAATATACCTGCTTTCCGTTACATAAATGGATAAATTGAGTTTTTTGCATTTAAAAAAAGAAGGCTTAGGAGTGCCATTAATCAGTGATTTTTCTTACTCTTTTTCTTTCTACGTAATTCAAATTTTTCTCTATAACAACTAGCGTTCACAATTGTCACATGATTTCAAAACTCCAAGGCAAAGCAAGGGTCTCGATGGTGCAGTAGGTAACACTTGAGATCCCAAAAAGGGTAGTCGCTGGTTCGGATCTGAATTGAGATCCGGATTTTGCAAACATCTCAGCATCACTGTGATTGTATTTAACATAATACCGTGTGGTAGAAAATTAGACAGTAAATAAAAAACTATGCATTACTACACGGTTATCTATTTTTACTGCTTACAGTTGAGTAGTTGACGGATTCTAGTGGTCAGAAAGCGCATTCTTCCAGACCTAAATCGTACAAGAAACGACGTTTCCCTGATTTTGTTCCAAATTGATGGAGTGCTTTCTTTCCGAATCAGCAAAAATGAAAATGAAATGGAAACGTTTTGACTTTGTTACAAAAACCTAGGAAGATATCGACGTTATCAATTTCAAAGTTACTGATAAACGTGCCAACATAATCAACACTTGAGGTCAATAGAAAGGAATAACGTTTCCGCTAGGACTATTTTAATCATAATCACAGAAAGTGGAACCTCCGTCGAGTACAACAAAAACCTTGCTGATCATGGCTCTTACGAAATCGCTGGAAGGGTTCAGTAAAAAATTATGTAAGGTATAAAAAGAAATCGAGAAAGTACCAGTCATATTGTGTTTTACAGATGGTTCATGCTTACTCAGGGGCGCGTGTGGCGCAGTGGTCGGAGGCGCCCTGCGACACACACGTGAAATCGATTGTTGCGTCCATAGTTTACCAAACCTTCCATCCCTCCAGATTAGTACCAAACTTGCCTGGAAGGATAGCAGCACTGGTTCGACACATCGGTAGGCCACTGGCAGTTACTGTAAAGGCCAGATATGAATTCAATCACCTCCAAACGATGCTTAATGAAGTCGAATACATGGCGCATCCTTCAGGGGTTGATCAACGCTGAGAGCTTTATCGTCTATCATACTTACTCATGAAGTCGCAAGTGTAGGAGCTATACAAGCTCAAAGTTGTCACTAATGTATTTAATAAGACTAATTTATTTGAAACTATGAAACTTATTGCAAAGTTCAAGCAATTTTTAAAAATGGTGCACGGAAAGGGCTGCGATTCCCTGGAGTTAATTTGAGCAACACGAAGAGGAAAATCAAAATCAGAAATGAAGAACTTTTCGGTTAAGCTTGTAATTATACGAAGATTTGTAAGCTTAAAATGCTGTCGTGCATTGAATTCTTGACGTAACTGGCGTTTTGTCCTCTACGAATTAGTTTTTGACTTTCGTCATCGCCCCGTGTCTACTTTGTGCTCTCGAAGTTGGTGAGGTTTCTTGATGGGTTGGTTGTGAGGGCGTCGCCGGCAGCAAGTGACCCCTCGGGGCTTGTGTCTATTGACAAACGACCAACAACGTAATGCTTTTACTAGCATTCCGATGAAACATTGCCGGAAAAAGCCGGCCGCCTAATTTGAAGCGACATCCGCATCCGATCCAAACAGAATCGTTTCGTCGTCAAAACACGCTGGTGCCCATTAACCCTGTTAGTTTAGCATCAAAGCAATGTCAAAAAAATGTAATAGGCACCTGAAATTTATCGTTCGAAATATACCAGGAATCTTTCCTTTTGGCACAGAGTCACCTACGTAGTATTTTTCCGTAAGCTGAGAGTTTAAAAAGTATAAAGGACAAGAATAAAGCTCCCAGCGTTGACCAATCCCTGAGGGATGCGCCATGCAATCGACTTCATTAAGCATCGTTTGGAGGTGATTGAATGCATATCTGGTCTTTACAATGACTCGCGGTGGCCTAGTGATGTATCGAGCCAGTGCTGCTATTCTCGCAGACAAATCTGGTACCAATTTGCTGAACCCGGAGGGATGGAAGGCTTGGTGTGCCCTGGGCGCGGAGATCGGTTTCACGTGTGTGTTGCAGGGCGCCTCCGACCACTCCGCCACACGCGTCCTCCTAAAAAGTATGGGATTGGAAAAGAACATGATCGGACATCATTACATTTATTACCTTTCCATTCCACATTGATTTACAGTACATCAGTAACTTGCAGAAAAATTTAATATATCAATGTGATAACCATCAAAAAATAAACAGAAGTAAACATTGAACCCCTTTAAGTGTAAACATGTTCATAGTCACCGTTTTTAGAAATCAAGGCGCCTCATCTTTTGATTAAGATTCTAACATTGTGCTATAATTCAAAGCATTATCAATTAAAGTTAGAGGACTTTTTAAACCTCCGACGTCTTTTTTTCAGGAACTTTCCATGTTTTCGCTGTTTATATAGTGCTTTGTTTCGGTTTACCACTAGCTGATCTTCCAGATGGAAGTATTAACGTCGTTTCCAGCTTGAATGATATTTCTAGGAAAATAAGTCCTAGTTGTACATCCCAGTTTAAGAGGAGCACTAACGAATGAGCACCTTCCACCAATGAAAGAAGAAGTGGTCCATAAAGACCATAAAGGTGGCCGTATACGAGTACTAAGAAACATTCCACCAAAGTAAGAAATTTGGAAGAACATTGGGCTTTGCCGAACAGCAGTTCAGGTTAAAATCACAATCGGTTAAGTTGGAGAGATCTCACCGGTTAGAGCTGAACTGTTTCCTGAACTCAGAGAGGAAACGCTGCCTGGTTTCAGGTGTGCCGAAGTGCATCGAAAAATCGGGACATAGGGAAAACATGCTCAGAATCCTTTTGTCTTTCGACCATACTTTCCACTTAAAGCTATCCACGAATGCTCTACCAGCACAGTTATAAGACAAAAAAATTTCCAGCCAACTTCCTCTTCAAAAAACCCTAGTTCGGTATGATATGGGAGAAATGTGCTTTCAAGTGGATGAGAAAACTGTCGAATAGTATAAACTAAAAAAAAATAAACTCTTGATGGTGGTTTTTCTCAGAAAGCTCTACTTAACAGGAAAGATTTGGTCTTTTACAAGCTCTCATAAAGTTGAACGTGATGCATAAGCTCAATATGAGCAAAGATTTTGAATTACAACAGTAACATATGTTAAGCAATGACTCTCTAAAACACATTGGAGTAGAATTTCGTGAATCACTTAAACGGTTTTTGGCCATTATAGACTTTTCTTAAATGGTTTTCTTCAATGGTTGCCATGGAGTCTCCCATACGGCCAACCGACATTTTCTCGGGAATGTTGAACGGGCAGCCGTGATTAGTCAGAGATCTGGCCGTAGACATTAGTTTTTTGTGTGAAGAGAACGAACAATGAGACCGAATATTGCGACACCGAACTCGCGAACGGTCACAGCACAGTTGGTAAGCTTTGTCTTCTACTGTTCCCAACTCTTCCTCTCTCAATGGGTATCGCACACCCAGCATGGAGGTCCTGAATCGGTGAGGAAGAAAAAAACGTTCGTGCCACCCGTGAAGTGTGTTCGGACGCTAAAGATTAATGTGATCGGCAACCAATCGAGTTACAACAAAGGTGACCCGACGACAGCGAACGACCCGACTCGAGTTTCATCATGATGAACACCTGGCAAGTACTTTTGGTTGTTGTCCACTCGTTCCATGAAGTCGGCTTCATTACGAAGTTGATTTATTGCCGACTTTAGCAAGCAGTGATGAGTAATTGAAAAAGGAAAGTTCCTTTCCCACTAGAAAGGGTATGATCTTATCTACAGCTCTGTGCATTTTTGTAAATAAAATTGCACTATTAGTGACCCGCTGAACAATAAAGGACAGGTCCTGAAACACGTTCATCTAATGAAACAACTATTCCACTTGAAAATGGCAATGTCGTCGGCAGTTCTCAAAGGAAATTTGTAAGATGGCTAAATAATTGAACAGTTTGAAAACAACTAGAAATATCTTCCGTGTTTGCACATTAAATTCACGCCCATGGACGCTAGTGATTTTCAGTGACGACGCTCGTTCATATTCACTGTGATCTTAAGACTGTTCGAATTCCTTCTAAGACTGCCTGTCTTCACAAAAGACATCAATTAATGGATAACTGACGTTGACAATGCTAACCTCAGTGAATCCAACATTGAATTTGACCTATTCTCTTATGGAAATGACCCTTAGCGATGCGAATACTCCTCCAAGTCACAACACAAACAGGTGTTTTCTACAGTAATTGCATTTGCATCAACGGCAGGTGATAGGATACGGTAAATTCAAAGCTCTTCCGACCAATCATCGCCGAGGTCATCGTGAGACCTTATAAGTGACCCCACAACGAAAATTGGCTAAGGTCAACAACATAAATCCTATTACAGCGATAGATGCAGAAGAAGAGTTTGAAAAGTTCGTTTTTCATACTCACGTCCAATGAAAAATGCTCGGCAAACAGTCAAGAAATAGAATGAGGGTAAAAATAGGCTCACTCAATTACTAATAAAACACTGTTATTTAAAGATATAAGTACGTGCAAAACCTAGAAAAATTCGTGTTCGTCAGAAGAAAGGGTGAAGTTAAGTTTTTCAATGAACAGTTTATACTTGCTGTTTCAGCCCATAAGAATGCAGACGTTGTTACGGCATTCGCCTTTCACGCGCGAATATTCAAGAGCAAAATTAGCCTTGTTTCTCATTTCTTCAGCTTCAAACATATAATAGATTACTTCACGCGTAGAAATGCAACGTAACTTGTTATGATGACAAGATCTACCTGCACAACATCTCCTTGGACTTCATAGTTAAGGCCTGTCGGAGAAAATGAGCCGAACAGTCGTTGCTCAGTTTGTCGTCCATGCGAAACGATCAGATCGACGCTTTCGTTGGGCTGCAGGCGATCCGTCGGCGACGCAAAAACAATGGACAGGATGTATATGACGAAAACAGCGACGAGCTGAGTTGCATCCGAGTCAAGGCGTCCGAACTGCCGCCTCGATGGTGCCGATCGTTCTGTCATCGTCGTCGCATCTGAAATGGGAGTGGGCGTAGCCAGCAATCTGCTTGAGGGGCGGGCCCAGTCTCAACGCACACACTACCAGCACGATGGCCGCGCGTATACATATAAAAATGATATACGACGGCGATCTAACCGTTATGGGCTATTGATTAGGCCAACTGAGAGTAGGATTAGGCTCAGTAGGAAAGTAAGAATGGAGGAATGTAGGAACTAAAGTTCGTACAGCTGGAAACCTGGGTTGAAACGACAGCTCGAAAAATTCATCGCAGTAGTCGAATTTTTAGTAGTGCTCGATGCGCGCCAACAAAAGCGCGTTGAACGGAAGGATACAAGAAAAGAGATTACTTCAGCAATTACGGCAAAATCTACTCCAAAATAAAGAAGTTGTGCTTGCAAAGTTAAAGTCCACATGAAATTCGTTTGTAACTTAGATTACACTAGTCAAAAACCCTACTAAACAAAAGATATCCACAGTTGAAAAATTTCGGTAATCCATCGCCCGCTCGAATGTGCAAATTTTTGAGGAGATGAATGGCAAGAGGAAAAATAAAAAAATGATTGACGCTGAGGTGTTGCACTTCCATGTCAGCTTATGAATTGATCATGAAAGATATGAAACAGCGCAAAGGATAACAGGATGGACAAATGCTTATACCAAATGCGGACCGTTTGCTCGAAATTTATGGCGGAACTCAATGCTTCTTTACAAAACAAAAGACTCTTGAACTTTTGTATAAGAAGTTAGCAAAATATGACAGATATACTCGGACACCATAAACTTCATCGTCAAAATGCCGGATCATATTTGTGGACGCGGAAGAAGGAAATAGCACAAGCTCTCAGTACCAAGTTTACATTCCTAGTGTAATTTCGGAAGATTCTAAAAGTTCCTAGAGTAATTCCGATTGCTTCATAGATTATACATATAAAGTAAGTACAGTGTATTTTAGGCTAAGTCGACAGTGGACAAGAAAGGAGAGGATTGGCATGGAGTAAGAATTACATTTGTTTACGGGACAATGCGATAGCGGTGTGTGGCGGCCGAGGTGACCTGAGCGAGATCGAATCTGTGAGGGGTCTGGACTGCCGTCCATCGTATCACCAGTGCCGTCGTAACCGAATACTCGCCGTAGGCAGAATATAAATTGAGTAGTGATGGATGAGTGATGATGATGATGATATGATGATCCACTATATGCACGATCGAAAGATCGCAGCGAACCACAGATTCAGAAGTTCGACGGCAGTAAGCGCGCACTGTGTCGCATAGGACTGTCGACAACGTTACCACGATTAAACCAGTAATCTGAGCAGAGAATTCAAAGAAGAAAAAAAAGCAATGATGTCACGACTAAGAAAATTACAGTAGTTTCACATCCTACCACAAATGATGGTTTTCGAAGAATTTCAACCAATGAAAAACATCACAAGTTAGGACTGGCCGACATTCGTCCATAGCTGACACGAGCTTTCAATGCTTTTGTACTCTCAATTCGGCTTTTTCTTCAGCTCGTCAGCACTACCACTGGTATTCGCCACACCATAATCTTCGACCATGTCACAAAAATCAAGAACTCTTCTGGGAACTAATTTCGAGAACAGCTTGTCCGTTCTTGCGGAACAGTAAAGGACAAAGGATAAAGTTCTCGGTGTTGATCAATCCCTAAGGGAGGCGCCATGCATTCGACTTCATTAAGCATCGCGTGGAGGTGACTGAATGCATTTGTGTCCTTTACAATGACTCGCCGTGGCCTACCGATGTAACGAGCCAGTGCTACTACCCTCACAAACGAGTCTGGCACCAAATTGCCGACTCCGGCAGGATGGAAGGCTTGATGGACCATGGGCGCGGTGGCGATTAAACGTGTGTGTTTCAGGGCGCCTCCGACCACTGTTCCACACACGCCCTTCTTGCGGAACAATGGTTAGGAGACATATTTACTAAAAATCCATGTCTCAGCAAGAGTGAGAGAAAATTAGTGTATTCTATGATATTAGCAGATGTTGTGAAATAGATTGGAGTAAAAAACCCAAGGAATAGGCCTGTATAAAGTCACTGTTTCATTGTCATCCTGTACAGCGCGTTAAAAGAAGCGGTTGGAATGGTTCATTATGACCAAAGAAGCTAAGATGTTCATATATGAATAAGGACCGATTTCCAGCATACTGCGCTGCAACCTGCATTCAACAACACTTGGATTCGTTTACAAGTATTCCTAAGCCTAAGCCACCACAATTCAACTGAGGGAAAACCGGAAAAATTGGCTACAGTCCAAAAGAAATTGTCAAACAAAGGAAGAAAATGTTAACAGAGGTAAAAATCAACATAATAACCATACTTTTACCATGAAAAGGCATACACACCTCTATACGATGCAGCGATAAATTCTTTGAAGAAATTTGGAACATCTGCATGGTTGGTAAGGATAACATACAAGAATTACTTAGATGCTTGGAAAATGATCGGAAGTCTAATGAAACGGAAGGCTGGATTTCAGCTAGTGTGGGACAGGCGATGAGACGTTGAGGAGGAATTGGTCGCTTCCAGATGCCTCATGGATTTAGTCGGTAACAAACAGCACTTCCTCTATAAATTTTTATTCAAGATCGGAAAAAATGGATGACACCAGTTGATGACTAGAAAACCAGTGATCATAGCTACCTTTGGTAACGACCTATTCGGTAGTGCTTGAGTGCTTCACTTCGGTCCAACCATTGTGCACTACGTTTTCACTTGTCTTTGAGGTCCCGCAATGTTTAACAAAAGACCCCTAAGAAAAATCACTTGCTGTTGCTTAAAGAAAGTTCCGTTGCTTTAATACCCAGTTTAAGCTTCTACGACAAAAACAGTTCGAATTATTCCTCTCAGCTTCAATCTCTAATAATTCAGAAAAAGAAAACAGAAGAGATGAAATTGTTAGCGTGAGCCATTGAGCGAATCCAACGTTTTGAAACGATGTGCAAAACACAAGAATCACTTTTGCAAGAAGAACAGTTGTGTCATCCTAGCTTCTATCACTTTACACGGCCACCAAGGTTTGGTGAAACCCCGCCTAAGCCGACTCACTCTCAACAAGTCACCGAAAAATGACTCGCTTCTAGCTGTTTTAAACTTAAAGAGTAGCAATATTTCAAAAACCGACTTTCCTTTAAGTTCAGTATGATTAATGACTGTTGCAGGATGGATTGCTTGGAGAAAAACAAACGATGATCGACGGACGGATAATCACTATCAACAGCAACCCTCCCGTTTAAAAGAGCACTACAGATGAGGTTGTTTGATTGGGGCTGTACTCCACTGGATTCGATTCAGTGCGATCATGAAGACTCATATCGGAAGAAGGAACAATGTAGACAACCGACTCGCATCAATCCGGCTGTGAAGAGGGTGAAGGCACGGAAACATTAGGCGAATAAGGTTTCTTATCAACCTCGTGTTAGCTTACCAACAAAAGAATACATGCTGATAAAAAGTAGCAGTTTTTCCTATAAAATTTTGAAGGATGAAGGTTATAGTGAAGTCAGTGAATGGTGAATGACATTCCAGAGACATTCGGTCGGTCTTGCTGTGGGCGACGTTCAAATAATCATCTCCAAGAGGAGTGGTTAATGGTTGTCATTCGCGCCTCTTTAAGTGGCCCACGGTGTTTCGTCGAAGAGGAATGCTTTAGAGAAACGATTGACATTTATCACCTCCCATTCCCCCACTCCCACACACATACCGACACACACACACACACACACACACACACACACACACACACACATACATACACACAACACACACATACATACGCACACACACAAACATACATATACACACAATATCGAGGTGGTGGTCGGTGGAAGACAACTATAACACTATGACAGCACGATGGCAGACTCCGCTGGAGAAGGACGACGAAGCAAAACAAGGAGAATTCGATCCAACCATCCTCTACCGTTAAGCTGAATGTTAAAATAAAACATGTTCTATTAGGTTCACTAGAAATCAATCCCCTTATTCTTAAATTTTTCGAAAAAAGAGTGGAGGTAGCGCAGTGGTTATTAGTGCAGTCCATTAGAAAGCAAGGTGCTTATTCGTCATGCTCCTCAACACTTTTCTCCAGTCCAAGTGGGAACACCTCAGATCTGGTATCTCTGAGATTACAGAGAGAGTTCCCAGGATCGACTTTCTCTTAACCTCGGCATTGGAATATGAATGTGTCGTTTTCTTGTTCAGCAATCGCGAGGTTTTTAAACAGCATACATTTACTTCCATAGAGAAACACAATACAATACAACGCTAGCTGACGTTTCGGCAGTATCGCCTTCTTCAGAGCCTGGAAGGGTATACTGATATACATTCTACTAGGCCAAACGCTTCAATAACACTTACAAAAAGACGAAAAACTCTTTGGTAATTACATGATCAAAAACTTCTCGAAAAAATATCCTATCCTTGCACAGGAGTCCAAAACACCAGCGCGAAAACTCCTTGAGGCTTTTTGGATCAATGCCAAAAACCCTACAATGAATAGCAGGGATGAATGCCCGGAGGTTATACGCGACCTGATCCCGTACGTTCGCATCGATTTTTGATGTGGGATGGTGCAGTCGTCAACCACATGCGACTATAATCAGCTGTGCTTAACTTCCTCATCAGAAGTCACGAAAAAGCGGTGGGTTTTTCGAGAAGTTGTTGATCGTGTAATTACCAAAGAGTCTTTCGTCTTTTTGTAAGTGTTATTGAAGCGTTTGGCCTGGTTGATTGTATATCAGAATACCCTTCCAGGCTCTGAAGAAGGCGATACTGCCGAAACGTCAGCTAGCGTTGTATTGTATTGTGTTTTTCTATGGAAGTAAATGTATGCTGTTTAGAAACCTCGCGATTGCTGAACAAGAAAACGACGCATTCATATTACAGAGAGAATCGACTCAATATATATTCTACGACATTCACGTGGAAAACGATATCCCCAAGCAGCAGTTGACGCAACACGCTAAATGTTCGAAAACCA